TGGCTATGTTGCTGGACTCCCATGTAGTCGACCGCGGTTCGAGTCCCAGACCCGGTGGCTTAAAACTCACGCCGGCCGCGTGTGCGTGCGTGTCCAAGATCCCAGGAGGAGAATGGAGGAGAAGGGATTTTTGCATGGCCATCCCCCCTGGGGGGTAATTTCTGGCTTTCTGTCTCTCTGTCTGGCGAGCGCATGCGCCCTATAGCAAAAAACCTCTCCAAAAAAAAAAAAAAAAAGTAGAGCTAAGGCCAGCAGGTGGTGTGGGAGTTACGGTTGGTTCGCCCCCCCCGGCCCAGCAATAATCTTCAACACAGTGTAATCTGGTGATGTAGTCAGTATCAAACTGAACTAAGTTCTGGAAGCTACAGAGCTGACCACAAGTTCAGATCTCCAGGTTAGCCTGAAAACATGCCAAGTACATGCACTTGCCCAAAATCTTGATGGGATGGAGAACTGAAGAGAAAGGGAATGCAGTATGACTGTGCCCCTGGGGCCATGCATTCTCTTGCTTTCTTTCTAAATGTAGTACATGTACTCTCTATCATGATTAAAATAAACACACTTTTAAAAATTCTACAAAATCCAGGGGACCAGCAGATGGCATGGTGGTTAAGGCACTGGACACTCCCACATGACTGGCCACGGGTCAAGTCCCAGACCTGGGGACTTGCTTTCTCACTCTCCCTCCCTGTCTGTCTCTCTCTGGTCAAATGGAAGAAAAATAAGGAAAATTAAATATAATTTAAAAAAAGGGGGGGGCAGCAGGTGGTGTAGCATTTTTGTCGCTGGACGAGCTCAGTTCCAGTCCTGGAACCCTTGACTTGAATGTCACTCCAAGTGCGGAGAACACACACCCTAAGGCACAAACCTCTTAAAACAAACAAAAATATAGAGCCAAGGTGAAGGGCCCCACAAAGGGCAGGTTAAAGTGGCAACTCGTATGGCTTTGTACTTGTGGGCGATCAGGAACCAAAAAGACACTGCGCACCGAGGCCTGGATCGTGCCACCCCGAGAAGTCCCAGCCTTCTCCCGCTGGGTGTCGAGACGCGCCCGAAATGTGGGAGGTGCTTGTGCAGGTTAATTGCAGACGGCTCATTAGCATATATTTACATAGGCCACACCTCCCCGCCTCTCGCAACCCGCTGCCAGGGTCGGGAAAGGCGGGTTGGGAACGACCCCTCCAGGCTAGGATTAGTGGCCAGCTGTCCCTTCTAGGGCGGTAGCTGAAACCCTAGACGGGGTTCAGAAGGGTTTTCATCTCCAGCCCGAGGGGTAGGGGAGGTCCTGGGCACACCTGTGCGGCTATGTGCGGGGGCCCTCGCTGCCTCTCCCGAAAGAAGGCTCTGGTCTCGAACCTGCTTCTCCAGACCAGAGGAGGAGAACGCGGGAGGGAGAGGGCACAGTCGCCCACGGCTAGAGCTGGGGCTGGTGACCTTCGGACCTTGCATTGCGCTCCCTCTGGGGCCGGGCCAGCTTTGAAGACTGCAAGAACACTGAGGCAGGGCCACCTCGTCCGCGGAAGGGGGGTGTCCCCATTCCCTCTCCGAGAGTCTAAAAGTGACCTTAGCCCCCAGTGCCACCGGTTGTCGGTGCAGGAGGCTAAAGGAACCAAGGTCACCTATTGGCATGGGGGTGGCAGCGGGTTCCCAGGCTGTCGGAGCAGGATCTGGCTGTTCCCACGGGCGCCCCCGCGGCAGATGGGCCCAGGCCCCTTTGTCCCCTGGTCCGCGGCCGCCGCAAGGTCAAATGTCACCGCGGGGCCGCGGGCACGGGTCAGAGAGGCGGGGGGGAGGCGCC